GGGAGGGAATGTCCTAGGCAGTGGGATGGGTCAGGGAGCCTTCAGAATGGGTGCTGTTTGAGCTGGGAAGTGGAGGGGGAGGGGAGGCATCCCCAGCATGGCAGAGCACATTGGAGGTGGGGGAGGGGGCATGCCCTGTCTGAGGGACCAAGTGAAAGCCCGTTTCATTGGACTGAAGTGAAGGAAGGGCAAGAATGCACAGCGAGGCTGGAAAGATAGGTAGGGCTCAGTCAGGTTGGGAAGGCTTTGAAAGCTGAAGAGAAGAGTTTCGATTTGATTCTTGAGGCAATAGGGAGCCACTGGAATTTACTGAGAAGAGGAGTGACATGGTCAGATCTGTGTCTAAAAAGAATCACTTTGGTTGTGATGTGGAAGGTGGACTAAAGTGGGGAGATGCTTAAGACAAGGAGACCACTTGGGGAGGCTTGAGCTAAGATAGGAGCTGTGTGATCAGATGCAAGAAATGTAGAGAGAGAAATGACACAATTTGGCAACTGACTGGCTGTGTGGGGTGGGGGAGGGGGAGGAGTTGGCCATGTCAAGGCTGCAAAGCTAGGTGCCTGGAAGAAGGGGAGTGCCTGCAGTAGAACCAGACAAGTTTGGAGAGAAGATGCTTTGGACAGATAGAGAATGAGTTCTCCTTTAGACAAAGTAAGTTGGAGAAGTCTCTGAGACATCCAGTGTGAAATGTCCAATGAGCAGTTGGTGATATAATATTGGAACCCATTGGAGGCTGAAACTAGGAGTTGCTGGCATAGAAATGATCATTGAATCCATTGGAACTGATGAGAGGAGAGAGAGATAGAGATAGAGGGAAAGGGAGGGGAAAAGAGAGGGGGGAGGGAGGGAGGAGGGGAGAGAGAGAGAGAGAGAGAGAGAGAGAGAGAGAGAGAGAGAGAGAGAGAGAGAGAGAGAGAGAGAGCGAGCGCGAACGAGCCTGTGACAAAGGCTTGGGTAACACCCACACTTGGGGAATATGATCTAGGTGATAAACCAGCAAAGGAGGCTGAGGAGAGATCAGATGGGCCAGAGAATCAGGGTGGAGAAAGTGTCATGAAATCCCAGAGAAGCAAGAGCAGACCTGCACAACTTGTCAGGAGGCAGGGGCCAAATTTAAAATAGGCTAAACTTCTTCAGGCCACAGATAGGTTAGACTAGAGACAGACTGATGATGGGTGGTTACTGAGGGTCATGTAACAAGCTGGAGAGTGTGCAGTGACAACCCTTCAGTTTTTAAAAAAAAAAATTTAATTTTTAGGCAGTTGGGGTTAAGTGACTTGCCCAGGGTCACACAGCTAGTAAGTGTCAAGTGTTTGGTCTGAGGCCAGATTTGAATTCAGGTCCTCCTGAATCCAGGACCAGTGCTCTATCCACTGAGCCACCTAGCTGCCCCTCAACCCTCCATTTTTTGCAAGCCACTCAAAATCCTCTGGTGAGCCGCTTGTGGCCTGAGGGCTGTAGGTTGTGCAGGCCTGAGCTAAAGTATCCAGAAGGAGAAGGTAGTCAATATTGTCACTTGCCGCAGAAAGGTCAAGAAGGATGAGGATTGGAAAAGACCTCAGCAGATTTGGCAAAAATCATTGGTGACTTTGGAGAAGGCAATTTCAGGGAAATTATGAGGTTGAAAGGCAGATTGAAAAGGGCTGAGGAGTGAATAAAAGGAGCGTGTGGAGATAGCAGATCTGGACAGATTGTTTCTAGGATGTTTGGCTGAGAAAGAGAGGAGGAATGTAGGATGGCAGCTTGAGAGATTGGCCAGGCCTGGCGATGAAGGGCACTTGGGCCTATTTGAAGGTAGTAGGGGAAGACCCAGTGGATGAGGAGAGGTTAGAGATGATAGATAGAGACAGAGAGAGCTCCCAGTCTGCTGGAGGAGATGCACATGCAGGGTGATTGGCCTTGGCAAGGAGAAGGGCTGCCTCATTGTCCAAGCCAGGGAAGGTTGGAAGAGTAGGGGCAACGTCAAGGGCTTTGGAGGGGACGAGAATGGGAGAAGAAGAGTGTGCACATCGAAGGGTCTCAGTTTTCTCCATCTCACATTTTTTTCACCTGCAGCCTTAGAGGACGACTTTTGTCTGGCATTAATGTCTTCGGAGCTAGAATTGGCTTTCCGTGGCCCTGACAATCAGCTTGCTGTCGTGCTGATCCGTGGCTTGACAGAGCAAGTAGCTAGTGGTAGGCTGTTCATTTGAAATCTGTATAAATGCGGCAATTGCAGCTCTAGTTTTGATGGTAGGAGCAAAATAGTGTTAAATGTGGTGGAAAATGTCGGCATTCTCTTGGAACTCAAATGCAGAAAATCCTGAAAGTCTCATTTAGATTCTGAAATAAGCCATGGATCGGAACACTAAGAAACAGGAGGTGCTTCCTGAGTGTGTGTAACCACATGGAGAAGGCAGGCTCAAACTCTCTTGGGACACATTCCGCACCACAGATGTGCCTGTCGCTATCAGCCTGTCCGTTCATCTGTTGTTTGGGGTTTGCCATCAAGAGTAGCAAATGCTGATGCCAAGACAGGTGGTGGTTGGATCAGAACGGTGCTGGGTGTTCCCGTGGGCTTGAAAGGCTCTAGGCATCTTCAAGGGGAAGCAGGGCAGCCAGTCTGGGGGGATATTTATCGTGGGCGGGGATTCCTGCTTCAGATAGGCAAATGCTCTCCTGCCTTTGAGATTCTGAGACTCTCAAGACAGGCACCGGTTGCTGAGGCCCACGTGGTGACTTTAGGAGGTCTGAAAGGACCAGAGCTTGAGTGTAGCAGGACAGACAGAGGCCATAAAACTGGACAGCTAGACGCACTGTCTTGTTGCCGCTGCCAAGCCCTGATGCAGCTCCTGTGACTTTGGGGGCAGGCAGGTGGTGGTGGCACTTTTTGTGTAAGGTATGTTTGCCCCCACTGGGGGGGGGGTCAGCCTTGCAGAGTGCACGGCCAGCTTGCGTCAGGCCTGCCCCTCCCCAGTCAGCTGGCCCTGACGTGGAGCATCAGCCCCAGCCCGGCACCTTCCTGTGGGCTTCGTCAGCCCTGCTTAAAGGGCCTTGGTCAGCTCAAGGATTGCCAGGAAAGAAGAGCGTGAACAATTTGGGGTTAATAGCCAGTCAGTTTTATTGCAAAGGCGTAGTGTGTATTTGAGGTGGGTGTCAGATACCTGGCAGTCTTATTCCCAAAGCCAAGGGTGCCCAGCAGTTCCCGTAGAGATGGGTAGAGATGTAGAGAACCCAGGTCACTGGCCACTGGAAGCACAGTCCCACTCTGCCCACCCTGCTTGCTGACCTGAGGAGTAGGATCCTGAGTGCCAGGTGAAGTGGAGCCCGCAGGAAGGGCACAGTGCGTTCACTCTGAGAAATAGTACCATCTTGGGAGCCAGTAAGGTCAATGCTAGTTAGAAGGCTTGGAAGGGACAGCAGCAGCCGAGCCTTCGTAACCTTGATGGGGGCTTTGATTGCTGTCCTATCTCACCAAGATATCCCAGAACAGCTGTGGATCAGGCACCTTGGAGGGGGCAGGCCTTAGGGAAACTTGCAACATGCCTAGCTTAGCTCTGGGTAGAGGCTGCAAGATGGTAAGATCCATTGCAGATGAATTGTGGGCCAGAGAGGATGATGAAATACACTTCTTCATAAGACGCTCATCACTTTTGTGACTCTGCTAATTATTGACTTGCTTCAGATCCCAGTGCAAAAGGAGTGACAATCTGTTAGGGCATTCATCCTCGTTTGACAGGTGTCTTATAAATGAATGTTGACTAAGAAGAAGCATTGAGTAAATTTAGTAATTAGGATTCTGCTTGTAAGTCTTTGGAGAGGACTGATTGGCTTGTAGCTTAGAACTCCTACCTGAAGAAGACAATTAAAATGGGAAACGACCAGATCCTTCTACAAATGAAGGACAGTGGGCTTCACACGTATTTATGAAATTTAAGCTTGGCTTTTTCTTCCTGACAGGCAATAAAAACCCTAATAAACTGAGGAAGCCAAACAAGGGCTTAGAATTGATAGCAGAAGGACCTGGCCAGTTGGCCTCTGTGTACAACGTCCAAAATCAGTTCTTAGCTGTGACATTTTACATATGGTAACTGTAATTTGTGTGTGTGTGTGCGCGCGTGCGCATGCACACACGTGTGCTTATAAACTAGCCCCCTCCTACCTTTCTAGCATTCTCACACATTACTCCCCAACAAGTCCTCTTCCATCCAGTGATGGTGGCTTCCTGGCTGTTCCATAAACAGGAAGCTCCACCTCTCCCTCTCTCGGCATACTCTGTTTGTGCCCTATGCCCTCCCTCCTCTGCCCCGACTGCTGACCTCCCTGGCTTTCTTTATGTTGGTGGTGGTGATGGTGGTCAGCCATTTTTCAGTCATGTCCAACTCTTTGTGACCCCATTTGGGGTTTTCTTGGCAATGATACTGGAACAGTTTATCATTTCCTTCTCCAGTTCATTTTACAGTTGAAGAAACTGAGGCAAACAGGGTGAAGTGACTGGCCCAAGGTGTCACAGCTAGTAAGTGTCTGAGGCCAGATTTGAACTCAGATCTTCCTGACTCCAGGCCTGGCGCTCTGTCCACTACAGCCCTCTAGGCCTCAGGTAAATACTTAGACTGCTTACAGATGGGTAAGTTCTTTGCACCAATGAATTTTCTTATGTATATAGATTTAAGCTGGAGGAAAATCCCCTTGTTTCCCTTGGTAGAATGTAAGCTCCTTGAGGGCAAGCAGTGTTTCCATTTTTGTATCCCTACTTGCACCTAGGAGGCATTTGATAAAATATTGGTTGAATCAATTTAATAAAGTAAAATGGTGACTGGCTCCTGGAGCACGTCATGCTCAGGTCCAGTGCCATTTGGAGGGCCAGTCATCTTTGCTGAAGTGGTTGCATGAAGAGTAACGGGAGGTCGAATGTGTAGTTGGAAGGTGTGCCCAGCGCCGAGCATCCCAAGTGCTCATTGACCTGACCCGGGGTTGTTGGTCACTGGATGACAGAGCCCTTCTTGTTCCTCTGCCCACAGACTGAACTGACCGTGTCTGCAAGAAGGAGCCGCTGCAGGGACCTTCCCAATGTGTATCATCTTCTTTAAGTTCGATCCACGCCCTGTTTCCAAAAATGCATACAGGTAATCCCATGTGCGGGCTCTGATTTCTGTTCTCTGCTAGCATTCAGGAGGCTCATCTCCTTGTCCTCCATCGCTGTGGCCATCTCTCCCCACCATCCGCAGGTAAACTGATTTTGTGCCTGTCAGTCTGACTGATAATAGTGTCGCCTTAGACATCAGAGCTCCAGAGGACCAGTAAAGACCGGGTTCCATCCCTCATTTACAGGTGTGGACACGGAAGCCTGGAGAGCTTGCGTAGGGACATGCCCCAGACACACAGTGGTCACTGATGCACTTTCTGCCCCTTAATCCCTGTGTGACTTTGGACAGGTCACTTCCCCACTTGAGGCCTTAGTTTCCTCATCTTGTAAGGAGGAGAACTTGGATCAGGTGATATCAGAGGGTTGTCCTCATGTAGTCCTAGAGTTCAAACCAGTGCCCGATGGGAGGAAGAGTACATCAAATCACAGTTTTGAAAGTGCTTGGAGCTCTTCTTAGCAAAGATAATGATCAGTAATAGACATAGTGATCAGCCATGTGATTCCATACTTTCTCCCTCATTTGAACCTCACAACAACCTGGTGGGATGGTTATGCCAAATGTTATTATCCCCATCCTCAGATGAGCAAATTGAGGCCCAGAACAGCTGAAAGACTTACTCATGGTCACAGAGACCAGATTTTGCCACTTGGGAGGTATTTTTCTGTGAAGTTATGGGAGCTTAGCATTCTAACCCATCCTATTGGGAGAGGCTCAGTAGTAATATTTTGTTTTCATAGGTTATCATGGTTTTGTGATATATAACATCATGAGCATTAGAGAAATACATTATAATAATCTATTCATGACTGTAATTTCCTGGAGACACAGCTCATGCTTCGTGAATTCTCAGTTTTGTTGATATGAACACTCCATCCAGTCATGCCTGAAACTGAGAATTCCCTGAATCGTCCTTATCTGGGGGACTGTTAGCCAAGGTTTCCTAGAAAACCTCCACAGAAGAAGGAGATTGCAGGGGTCTGTTGCATTGCCCACGCTTGGATCTGGGTGGCAGTCCTGGGTCTCAGTCCCAGAAGGAGGAGCACTAGCATACCAGAGCTTGCCACCACAGGGGAGCTGGGACCCTGGTGACAGTTCCGAGGCAGAAAAGAGTGCTTGTGGTCACTCAGACCAGAACCCAGGCTAGGAGAGCAGTAAATACACCTCTTCCTGGATCAGGCCACCTTGGAAGAACCAAAAACTTACAGTTCCCCAGAATTACCTCTGAAAACAGCTGCACAAAAAACCCTGAAGCTTGGGGCAGTGAGCCCTCCACTCCGGAAGCAGAGGCCCCACTTTAGCATAGAGTTAAAAGTCAGGAAACAGGCTGGAAAAATGAGCAAACAGCAGAAAAAGATCCTGACCATAGAAAGTTACTGCGGTGACAGGGAAGCTCAAAACAAAAACTCAGAAGACAACGAAGTCTGCATCCAAAGCCTTAAATTAAAAGATGAATTGGTCTCAGGCCATGGAAGAGCTCAAAAAGGATTTTAGACATCTAGGAAGAGAGACACAGGAAAAATTAGGGAGAGAAGCAAGAGTGGTACAAGAAAATCATCAAAAAAGAGCCGACAGCTTGGTAAAGGGGGCACAAAAATCCAACGAAGAAAGCCTCCGTAGAATAATAATAGCTGACGTTTATATAGCACCTACTATGTGCTGGGCCCTGTGCCAAGTGCTTTGCGATTAGTATCTCATTTAAACCCTGGGAGGTGGGGTTCTCGTGATCTCCATTTCACAGATGAGAAACTGAGGCAAACAGAGGTGAAGTGACTTGTCATGCAGTGAGTGTCAGCGTTTGAGGCCAGATTTAAGCTTGGGTCGCCTGACTCCAGGCCTGGCCCTCTTTCCATGGAGCCATCGAGCTGCCATCTAACCACGTGCCACAGCCTCCTTCTTGTTCTCCCAGTCCCTTGGAGGAAGCAGCGTACATCAGAGGCAGCCGTTCTCCCTGCAGGACTGGCCCGGCTCCTTTTCCAATCCTCGCCTTGGTGTTCTCTGAATGTGTTGCTGGCTTCTCCTGTTATACGCAGAGGCTTTGTTAGGAAGGAGCCGCTGTCTACTTCCAGCTCTCCGGCATCCTCCCATTACCCTTGGGGGCTCAAATAAGTCAGATTCTTCTAAGTTCATCAAGTTGTTTGATTTGCAGCCAAACACACTGACGTGGTCACGAGCAGAATTTTCGTGTTTGAAAACAGGGCTTTTTGTTAAAAAAAATTTTACATGTAATTGAGAAATAGTTAATTAAATAAACAAAAATATATTGGAGAAAAAAAAGATAAGGGCTATTGTTGCAGTTAGCAGTTCAGGGTCTTAGAAAGGGCCATGTGATTTCTCAAATGTGATTCAAGTCTAGTTTCTCCTCATTGAGGAACCACCTCATTGGCCATTTGCTGTATTTCTCCTAGGAATGAACCACCTTGACAAGCTGCAGAGTAGCATTTGGGTGTTGGGCATTTATTATCCACTTTTTGTAGTATATATATTTAGACTAATCTCTCGATTTGCTGAGGATTTGTGATGTTCTGGGGCTTGCTGCAGTCGGTAAAAGGTCATCTACAAACAGAGCTTTAACTAGTGTTGGAGGCCTGGTGCTGACCTCAGTCCTTGGGGGTCATCTAGAGACTGCTATTCCCGTGCCTCACAGACCTCTACAAGGCAGTACAGCCACAAGATGAAGCCATGGTCCCTTGCCCAGCCCTAGGTCACTAAACCTCAGCCCTCCTCTGGACTTGCCTTGCCCTCGCCCCCGGTGAGCGTGTAGACCACCCTCTCTACCAGTGAAGCTGCACTCGTAGTTAGACTCTCCTCTGCACTGGAGTTACTATGCTCCTCACCATTCACATTCAATTCTTTTGGCCCCCAAGTGAAGGAAACTGGAGAAGTTCAATAGGGAATCCTTTGTTTAGATTCGGGATAGAACATTTTCCATAATGCTGGTCATAAGATCATTATGGATTCATAGAGCTCCCTTCTTGGCACTATAGCCTTTGAATTTTAACGAAAGGGCAAACTGAGGCAGATCTCCACACAAGATAACATTTATCAGCAGGGACGTGCCACCTGTCAATAAATGGTCAATGGCTTGCCACTATTTATGCCGAAGACCCTGAACAAACAGTTCCCTTTTTATAGGTTTTAGTGGGTTCAGAACAGGGTTGACAGCATCATGGGATTGAATCCAAAATGACTGGTTACGAAGCTGAGGTGCAGGGAACAACATGATTGGTTGGAAGGTTGGTCATGAGAGCTGGCAACAATCTCCTCTCATGAGACAAGACGTGCTCTTGTTTGAGTCCAGGTGTGAGATGGCAGCCCAGACTCTTGGACAGCAAACCAGGCATCCTTGAAGGATAGGTTGGTGGTGTGAACATAGCAGGCTCAAACTCCCTTGTGTTGCCACACATTTCCCAGGGTCGATTAAATTCCTTGAGGCAAGAGAGCTGGATTTTTAAACTTAACCCATTACAGGCTGGCTGAGCTCTAAACTGATTTCAGAGACAAAGAACCATGACTTAAGCAGTTACAGGACAAAATCAAATAATTGTAAATAGTGTCAATAAGAAAATGATGCAGGATCAATCTTAATCTCTTCAGCACCATGCTTGATGTTAAGACCAGGAGATCATCGAATGAAGTTCTTTGTAGTTACATGTCTCAGAAAATGTTGTATGATTTTTATATAGACATCTGTCTGAAGGGAATCTAACAGCTGATACCTCAAATTATGACCTTCAGAACTGATGGCAGCAGGATACCACGCCTGCAATGGGCTTGGTAACTTTCCATGAGGCCTTGAGCTGCATGCCCTGATCCCTGGTAGACTCTCCTGTAATTGAGGGGATGGAATGATCCCAAAGACCTCATTCTAAATGCTTGGTACCTGTGAATATTTCATTTATGAAGGTGGTAACTTGGAGCAGGTGGAGCCATCCCAGTCATTAAGGTCAGTGGCTATAAGATGGTCTGCCTTGAGGTCCCTATTGTTTCCATTTCCTTCCTAGAGTTGCCTCTTTCCTCTTCCTGGTTTAGGCCATGGGCTATTTTGACTGTGATAGCTTGCATGCCACAGCTGAATGAAATCCTTGAAATGAAAATGAGATCCTTGAGCCTTTGGCCCCGATTCGAGGGGACAAGAGTTGTGGGATGGGGATGCTCATCGTGGGCTTGATGTCCTTGTGAAAACCTGGACCTGTCTGCTCTGGCACCAGAGTGTCTGTGGGTGTGATTTTGCTGATACTGAGTCTCCAAGTTCATATCTATGGCACACTTGATGGAGGAGGCTCATAAAGAAACACAGAAACGAGGGTAGAGTCAAGATGGTAGAGTAAGAGGTAGGATTTTTGCCTTAGATTCCTCACAACCTCCTCTACAGCAACCTAAAAAAACATGCCAGACCAAATTCTGACTAGGAAAGGCAAGAAAAAGTCACAGTGAGTTATTTGTCCAGTCCTGGACAGCTTAGGAAGATAGAGAACTCTGTGGACACTGGGACATGGGCTGGCCAGGAACACAGGGGCAGTGGAACAGCAAGGGGACTGAAGCCTCGGCGGGCAGGAAAGAGCTGGTCTGAAAGGGCTCCTAGGGGACCCTTGTACCTGCACTGGGAGCAGGAATGGGAGCCACACCAAATCACAGTTCTAGGCTGGAGAGGAGCCCTTCCTGTGTAAGGAGCAAGGAGCCGCACACATAATTCTGCAGTGGAATGACCAGGGCAGGAGCCCCAGACCAAGCTAGCAGTTCAGTCACTTGAAATCGGCAGAACTTCACAGTGGGCTGACAGTGACTGAGTCCTGCAGCAGTCCATGGAACCTGAACCAACACACAAGTCAGCAGACCCAAATCTGGATCAGGAACTTACAGAGCTCAGGCTAGGAGGGCAGGAAAGAGATCTCCTCCTGGATCACGCCATTTTGGAAGCACCAGAAACTTACAGGCCCCCAGACAGAGCTATGAAAACATCAGAAGGACATAAAAAGACA